TGCATACATACACACGATCTCCCATTCCATCCACTCTCTCTTTCTCTCGTATCAGCTTCCGTATCAGCCAGAGTGTGAATGGCTTATTTCCTTGTTGCCTTTTTGGCCGCATTTCGGAATTTGCATTTGGCCTTTTTGGGGGCGAGCATTTTTATGCGCTTTTGCTCAGGGCCACAAGCCATATACACTGGACAAAATCATGGGAACTAAGTCGCTTGCATTTGGAAATAAATCTATGAAAATTTACCTTTGTGTTGGGGGCTTTTTTTTGGAGTGCAGGGCAAAGAGTAGAACAGCCCGAACAACAACTCGTTAGGCTATTGAAATTGAAAATGTTTGCCGACTGATGCGATAAGAATGAGCACGAGGAGTGGGTGTGGGAGTGGGAGTGCGACTGGAAGTGGGCTGGGATTATAGTTTTGGGCATAACTTTGGCCAGCAGCAGCAGCAGCAGCAGCAGCAGCATTTCGAGGGGAAAGTTGTGGGTCAAGTGTTGGCTGTCGGATAATTGGATTTCTGGAAGCAGCCTCCTGCAAACGCCTGCAATCAATCGATGCTCCAACAGCAACACCTCGACAAAAAACCTCCAGATTGAGGAGGACGATCTGCAATCCTACCAATCCGCAATCCCCAGAGTATCGTAAAGCCCGCGGCCTAAACCGCGTGGTAAACTTCCATTTCATTCCACGGACACCAATCGAATGCTTCAGTTGTTTCTCTTTTTATTTTTTTTTTTGGGATTTCGGGGCATTTGCAAAACTTTCGACATGCTCATAAAATTGCTCGTTTAACTCATTTAACTTTTTGTTGCTTGGGGTTCAAGTTGTATCTGTGTGTGTGTGTGTGTGTGTCCGTGTGTCTGTGTGGGTGGGTGCTCTTTTTTTTTTATTTTTAGAAAGTTTGCATAAATTGTAGCAACAAGAAAAGTTAATAATGCCAGCAGGCAAGAGCTCGAGCTGGGGCGACAATGAAAATAATTCAATTAAAACACTTTCCAGTTTTGGGTTCCTCCACGTGGCACCCCCCACCCCTCCGGTGCATGCATGTCAAGTTACAATTACGCCGAACCAAATTAACACGTAGACCAGGACACCAGGACACCAGAACACCAGAACACCAGGACACCCGGACCCAAGCACCCAAGCACCCAAACAGGAGCTCCTCGTGTGGTGGATTGGCCGCGAGGCATCATTCTGCATAAAGTTTTCCATTGGGCGGTCCGGCCCGTCTGTTCATGTGTCCGGGATACCGCACCGAGTGCGACATCTATGCCATGTTTACTTTGCTACTTAGAGCCGGGGCTGTTCTTGTTCCTGCAGCTTAAAGCCACAAAGTGTCTCTCCTGCCGGGTATTTAAATGTTTGGCTGTGGCTTAGACTCCGCCTCCTGCTGCTCCGTGCGGCATTTCCGGGTGTTTAGTGTATTATTTTAAGATTTGATAGGCTTTGCCCTGGGATTATGGTGGGCTTCGGTGGGCTTTTGATTTTTGGCATCGCTCGCTCCTGTTGCTCCTGCCGGGGACCATTATGCCAGGCAGTCATGCAGGAGAACACTTTAATCATAGTTCAGTAATACCCATTTTTGTGCCTCCCTCACGCTTTCTGGCATACAATTTGTTCGACTGCAAATCCCCTCGATGGCCATAACCATAGCCATGGAAGGGCCTTAACGAGCCGCACTATGCAATGCATTTAACGGAAATAATTTCTCGATTTTTATGCACTCTTAACCCTTTAATGCCGGACACATGGCATCCATTTTTGCAGCAATTTAGTCCATTAAAAATTGTTTTTCCATAATTTTTTACACCCAGCATTAAAGCGGGTCGACAAAAAGGCGAGCGAAAAAAAAACAAAACCGAAAAGAATTGATGGCGCATCGAGAGTCCATGCTCGTTAAAAATCAATCCCCCAGTGGGCGGGGCAAAGGTGTCGCCCCCCGCCCCACGCCCCACGCCCCACGCCCCTTCGTCTCGTGGTCAATATGCGAGACTATAAGTCTATATAAGCGCCAGCGCCGCCAGCAACGGCATGCAGGGGATATCCTTTCGGGTGTATCTCTGTTTGGGTCGTCTGGCGGGAGTTGCTCTATGAAAAATACGGTCATTTGGTACCTCAGCAGCGGAGGATAGATTTTTGGAAATTTCTAATAATAAAACAAATAACAGACCTTATCATGCACACGCAATGCATATTGTTTTCTCGTGGGGCCTCGTTTCTAATAATAAAATCAAATAAAAAACCTTGTCATGCACACGCATGTATGTTGTTCTCGCCTGTGCCGCCCGTGTCTCGAGTCGAGCGTCAATCAGTGTGCAGGGCATTGCATTGTCGCACTGGACTGGCCCATAATTGTTGGGGAATCACCACAAACTGAGGCGCAATGAAGCGCAACACATCCACGCGACATTTCCAATCTACGCGGTGTATCTGTGCATCGTGTACGGGGCTATGGCCATGACTCCGGCTCCGGCTCCGGCTCTGGGTCCGGCGCTGGACACCTCCACCAAAATGTGTCCAATGTAACGCCACAACAAAGAACGTTAATTGACGCCAAAATGCTGCAGCATAAAAAGCACAACAAAAAGAAGCAGAGGGCATCTCCGGAAAAAAGGCAAGGGAATAACCAGCGAAGCGGAGAGCATGTGAAAAAAGAATTTGTCCGGTCGGACAAATTTTGTGGCAGGAGCTGGAGCTGGAGCTGGAGCTGGTGCTGCAGATGGAGCAGCATCAGTGCCGTGTCTTGGTCGGGTTTTCGGTAAATTTAAATGCGCCTCCGACCTGATCTCCGACCCGCGCCGAGCCGAGCCGAGCCGACTCGAGGCTCAAGTGGCTTTATTAACCCTATGAGGGGTCACACGGGTCTCCTGCCCCAATGCCCTGCCCTCCCCTCCCCACTATCCCCGTAGCAGGGAGACAGAAAGAGTGGGCGTTGTTGAATCAGCACACGTGATTAATGGCCTTTAATTATGTCAAAGCGCGACGGAAGGACTCTGTCTAGGAATGGGCTCCCGTGTGTGTGTGTGCGCAACGGTATGCCAGTTAAACGCTTGACATTAAAAAATTGACACCGTTCGGGGTGAAATGTCGGCAACGTTCTGGTTCTCTGGGGCTGGTGCTGGGGCTGGTGCTGGTGCTGGGGCTGGGGCTCCCCCTTCCAGCCGGTTGATGTGTTTTTGCTTCTCTGTGACAACTGTCTGGCACACGGAACTCGGTAGTTCCCCCCAACGAGGCTTGTCTTTTCGGCCCGGCCCGGCCCGGCCACAGCCGCCACTCCATCGACTGGGGCACAACTCCTTTGGACATTTGTTACCAAGCCCCGTGATTGTGTGTGGGCGTGTGTCTCGGTTGTCGCTTTTAATGAAAGCGTCATAAATTATGTTGCAGTTGACGAAAGCAACAGCGAAGCCATCGTCTCCGTTCGTCCGTACGGAGTCGGAGAGCTTGCACCCCGGGGAGGGTCACTTAGCATATGGCCAGCACATGGCCTTCGGAGTAGGGATCCCGTATGCTTTAAATATGTTAAACAGGTGGAGCCATTGGTGGAGCCATTTTACTCAGATTTCAAGCCACAAATGCCACCAAATATGTTAGTTCTCAGAACAGAACCGCCGCCAGATACATGATGTAGGTGGAGAAGAAGAATATGAGGACGGAAGTGCAATCCCATGGCTTCAGCTTCGAGGTCCGTTGCGGGGCCGTGGCATTCCTCCTGCGCTCGCCAATCAAGCTCGTCTCCCAGCGCAGCATTGGCGGGGTCCCCACCGAGCCTCCGGCGGTGCACTCGAGAAAGACCAGGCCGGAGAGCAGCAGCAGCAGCAGCTGGATGTACGACATTCTTGTGGGGCCAAGTGTCTCGGTTCTACTGCTCGATTGTGGCCAGACTCGTTCGAAATTCGAATTGAGTGAACAGGTAAAGCACACATGACTTGTTTGCACAGCAGTGCTCTTTGTGTCGCTCTTTAATGTTCGGAGAACTGATATCCACAGAGTTTGGGGCCCTCTACCCCTTCCAAGATCATCTGGAGAACTCCGCTCTCTCTTTACAGATGTTTCTGTCTCTTCATCGCTGTATCGGGTGCCTCCGTGTCCGTTTTCTTTGTGCCGGAAAAAATCTTTTCAAACCCTCGAAAATATATCGAAGCCAGCCCCCAACCCCTACCCCCCTACCCCTCTGCCCATCTGCCCTTTGCCCTTTGCTATTTGCCAAATCAAATAATTATAAAAGTTGTGCCCCCGCCACGCCCACACACCGCCCACAGGCTTTGGCACAGGACTCACAGAAACAGAACTTGAAACAAACTTTTCGCTCGACAAAGGTGCAGCGGCAAAAGTTTTGAGCCAACTAGCAAAAATTTCATTTAGGCGCATTTAGGCGTCAGCCGCAGGACGAGATCGGGGCATCCCCCCCCCCGCCCCGGATAGAGATTCTTAAAGCCAGTGCCAGTGCGAGAGCATAGAAATCATATTTGGACACAAATTTTATGCAGCCTCAGCCTCAGCGGCGTCAGCGTCGACGTCGGCGTCGGTGGCGACGGCGGCTGGAAAAGTTTTTTTGCCAACGCTGCAGGCGAAAACTTTCGCCTCAGTCTCGGAGCAGGAGGCGGAGCCGGAGACTGTGTAGGCATCCCGACATCCTGTCTGTATCCGCCGTCCCGCCGTCCCGCCGTCCCGCCGTCTGTCCGCCTTTGTGCCAATTTCAGAGTTGCAGAGCTCCACCGAAGCGTGAGAAATGCGCCACAGCCTCCGCTTTGATGGATTTGCGCCTCGAAACGGGGCCAGACCCCAAGGATGCCAGCAGAGCCGCAAACCCCACAGCCAGGCGAACCCTTTCGTTTGCATTTTCATTTCGTTTCCCACCCCTCCCCACCCCCACATCCCCCATCCAAGCCTTTCACGAAAAATTGCTCCAAACTGATGGCTCTTGAATTGTTTTGCTATTTTATTCTGAAATTCTGCTTATGCCTGCTGCTGCTCCCAGGACGAGACCTCTTCGCACGCCTAGCCGCTGAGCTGGCTGATCAGCCGGCGCTGCCGCTCGTACAGCTGCAGCATGCGGCGCCTCCTGCGCTCCTGGCGCTGCCTCCTCAGCTGGCGACGACGACGAATGAAGGCGCGTCTGCGACGCCTGGCCGCTGCCGAGCCCGAGCTCGAGCCCGAGGATCCCGAGGATCCCGAGGAGGAGGACGACGCCGTGGTCGTGTCCGAGGTCGAGGAGGCCACAGTGGTGGTGGCGGTGGAGGGAGCGACTGTTGTGGTGGCAGTGGACGTCGCGGCGGTGGTGCTGGTGGCCGAGGAGCTGGTGGTGGTGCTGCTGCTGGTGGAGGCCACGGTGGTGGAGGTGCCTGTCGCACCACCCTCCCGGGCCAGCAGGAAGCAGCCGAGGACCGCGAGGAGGAGAACGAATGAGAAGCGCATGGTGAGGTGCTGTGTGTCTGATCTGGCGATCTGTGGCGGCTTTTATACCAGATCTTGCCCAGAAGAAGGCCCCCACTCCGAGAATTCCGCCCGATTCAATCGGCAAACACCACGGTTGACCCTCGGAGGTGTTTGCGCAGCTTCTCGATTGACATTGGTCTCGGTACACCCAACAAGCAGTTCTTTTGGCGGCTCGCGAGTGGGTCGCGTGTGGGATTAGTGGTCTGTTGGGGCAGAACCCATTCTGAGGGGCTATAGGCTCTAGGCGGGCAAATACTTCCTGCAACGTGGATCGGTGGGTGGATCGACGGATGGGTGGATGCATTTACACGGACAGATATTCGAGGGTGGTGCCCATCGGTACGGCAACAGACCGACAAGACGCTTCATGGGGAACTAGTCAAGGACGAGTCTTTCAGGCTATTGTAATGCTCCAATCATTATCCAACGTTTCTAATGGCAATTGTCATACGCAAGGTGATCTGCTATCCCCCATAGAACCCGTGATAATGCCTCTCCTGGAGATGTACTGAAGATGGTCCCGATCTTCAAGGGAACCATCGGTACACCTACAGGATGTGGACTTCCCAAACGGGCGCTATGCACAGTACAGTCTCTGCCCTCCCTTCAGTGAATAATCAACCGAATCCCATAGATCGGGGATCGGGGATCGGGGATCGGTGGGTCCCACTCCCAGCCCCAGTCCCAGAGATGGATTTTGGATGTAAAGGAGGGCGCATCGGAATACATTTTCAAAATACTCGTATATTCAATTTTTTCATATTTCAGCGGTGCTTAAAGGTAAGTGTTTCAAGAGTGGGCGATCTCTCGGATGCGTCTCCGAGCTGCCGCTTATCCTTGGAGCTGGTTGATCACGCGGCGCTGGTTCTGGATGCGGTTGCGGAGCCTCTGGGTCTGGCGCTGCCTCTGGCGCTCGCGGCGCTGGCGCTGACGGGCCAGACGACGACGCAGGCGTCTGCGGCGCCTGGCCGCTGCCGAGCCCGAAGATCCCGAGGAGGAGGACGACGCCGTGGTCGTGTCCGAGGTCGAGGAGGCAACGGTGGTGGTGGCGGTGGAGGGAGCGACTGTTGTGGTGGCAGTGGACGTCGCGGCGGTGGTGCTGGTGGCCGAGGAGCTGGTGGTGGTGGTGCTGCTGGTGGAGGCCACGGTGGTGGTGGTGCCTGTGGCACCACCCTCCCGGGCCAGCAGGAAGCAGCCGAGGACCGCGAGGAGGAGAACGAATGAGAAGCGCATGGTGAGGTGCTGTGCTTGATTCTGGCCCCGCGTGGGGCTTTTATACCGGCAGTCGTCTGCGTTGGGCTTCGTAATTGTTGTAATCAAGCGATAGTTCCACTGTTTTAATATTGGAATTCGGCAATGTGTGCACAGCTTGTCGGCCGACATTGGTTTCTTTATTTAGCCAAATACTGGGCTCTGGGTGTTAGCTTAGGTGGAGATCACAATGTATTATTGTAACCGTTCAAATGGTTGGAAAAATACGCTTTGGGAAGAGGAAGAAGCAGTCGCGTTTCAGTCGTCAGCAGAATATGCGCAGCACTGTGGATAAGTCTTTGACTTCTTTGTCGTTCACGATAGACAGATTCATTAATTAATGGCAGATTTAAACAGGAGAAAACCCTGGACTATTTGTACTATTTGTATTCCTAAGACCTAAGAAGAATTCTCATAAGACTCCTCCTAAGATCGTGGCCTATGTTCCTTTTAGTTTTTTAGACATTTGAAAAGAGACTAAAAACAAGCATCGAATCTTATTCCAATTTATTTTTCAATTATATATCTGGTAATAGTCAGAACTATATCATTCTAAGGAGTTACTGTGAGGTGGCCACCAATTAGCTGGGCAAAGTTAAACGAACAGCCGCCCTCTGCGTCAGTGGAGCTCTTCGAAGTACACCAAATGATGCGCTAAACGCCATGCTATGCCTCCAGAGCCTTGACCTTGCAGGCAAAGAGCGGGCAGACTCTGAACAATGGGTACCTCAGCACATATACGTAGGTCACCCATCCATACTAAATAAAAACAACATTGTCTCAGCAAGAACGGACTATCAAGTGCCAAGGGAGTACACGGATACTCCATTCAGCATCATCATCCCTCACAGAGACGAATGGCTCGAGGGACTCCTAGGCCCAGCATCTTTACGGATGGCTCGAAGCTGGACGGCAGGGTCGGAGGAGGAATATGCTCTGAACAGCTAAACATAAGGCAATCTTTCAGGCTTCCGGATCGCTGTAGCGTCTTCCAAGCGGAAGTTACAGCCATCAGGGAGGCTCTGCCTCATTTGGGTCCCAGGCCACCGGGACATCGAGGGCAACTGCAGAGCGGGTACTACGACCCCCCTTCTCCAAAATAAGGAGGATATTTTTATGCCTATGGCTCATCAGAAAAGAGTAATACAAGCGACTGACAGACGAAAAGTGGCAAATAGGGTCACGTTGTCACACAACTCGGCAAACATGGCCGACCATAGACAAGAAGCGCACCCCAGAGCTCTGCAAACTAGGCAGGGAAAGATGTAGCGCAGTCATAAGTTCCCTCACAGGAGACTGGCAAACAGGCTGGGTGCCCCACACAATGATTTCTGCCGCAGCTGCAGAGACGAGGACGAGGACGAGGAGGAGACAGTGGAACGCCTGTTCTGCTCCTGTCCGGCTCTCAGCAGAAGAAACGACATCTCGGAGATGTCTACGTTATGTCCTACGAAGATCGCAAACTTTATAAGAGCATCTGGCTGGGACAACTGCTGACATGAAGTCTCACTTGCAGGAAGGGAATGATCCCAAGCGGTATCAATCTCCAAGCGAGCCTGGCAGCCACCTCTACCTAACCTAACCTTCCTTTTCAATTGGGCTTTGGAGTAGTAATCTTTCAAGGGCGATTTGGCTTTGGATTGGGATGCGAACCTTGCTTGATGTCTTGCCTTTTGTCCTGCTATCTCATCTTCTACGACTTTGAGGTTCAGGTCTCTGTGGATGTTCTCGTTCCGGAGGTACCAAGCCATCTCCCACGGTCACTGGATGGAGGGATAGTCTTAGGTGGGAATCTGGAGCGACTATGAATCGCGGTGTCATCGCTGCGTGGATGTTTCACCATTTTACAGGCAGTGGGAATATTCCCTGCGCTAAGAGTCGGTGGAAAATCAGCTTCGCCTCTGAATGATTACTCGGATCGAGGGGAATCCTATTTACACAATTATCGGATCTGTATCTAAACAGTTTATCCCTGTATCTTCCAAGTTGCGGGACACGAGTACTGCAGTACCTTCCTTTGGAGTTTTTGGTGGATTAAATCCTCTTCATTTCGTAGATTCAAGTGTTCCATGGCTCTATTGCTTGTGGCTCTATTTTTCGACTATCAATTGACCAAAAATCAATAACAGATATCCCTGTAGCCGAAAATTTCGTTTTGGGAGTCATTATAAGATGTTGAATACATTTTTGAAATGTTCTTTATTTGCGTTCTACGTCCCGATAGGATCTCAGTGAATTCCGAAAGTTCTTTGGTCTGAAAAATATCCTCGCCTATCCCCGACGGTTGCGGCGCTGCTGCCTCCTTCGCTGCTGCTGGCGGCGCTTCTGGGCCTGCCTCCTGCGGCGCTGGCGGGCCAAGCGCGCTCGTCGCCGACGTGCCTGGATCCTGCGCCGCCTGGCAGCCGCGCTGGCGGAGGCGGAGGTTGTCACCGAGCTCGAGTCCGACGCCTCTGTGGTCGCCGACGCCTCTGTGGTCTCCGATGCGCTGGAGGGGCTGGCAGTCGTCGAACCAGTGGAGGCGCCAGTGGCGGGACCAGCAGTGCTGCTCGCCGCACTCTCCGTCGCCCCGACTGTGGTGCTGTCCGTCGACGACTCGGTGGAGGTGTCCGTTCCCTCGCAGCCTACCCGCTGGGAGAGGAGCAGGCAGCCGAGGAGGCCAAGAAGCAGAACCAACGTGAGACGCATCGCCGAGTCGTTTGTCCAGATTCCCAAAATGCAAAGCCTTTTAAGCCAAATCCTTCCCGGAAGCAGACCTCCATTGATGATTACAGCGCCACCATCAGATCATGCACATAATCCGCCATCCATGAGCACAGAGTCGATTCTCTCCAAGTCTTAGCCAACCTCTGTTTTGGGTATTTCCAGCATTGACGTTCTCCAGATACGAAGTGGGGCAAACAAAAATATTTACACAATGTCGAGCCAAATGGTTACACGGCTTTCTGGGGCCCGAGATCAGTATAAAAGCCCCACGCGGGGCCAGAATCAAGCACAGCACCTCACCATGCGCTTCTCATTCGTTCTCCTCCTCGCGGTCCTCGGCTGCTTCCTGCTGGCCCGGGAGGGTGGTGCCACAGGCACCACCACCACCGTGGCCTCCACCAGCAGCACCACCACCACCAGCTCCTCGGCCACCAGCACCACCGCCGCGACGTCCACTGCCACCACAACAGTCGCTCCCTCCACCGCCACCACCACCGTTGCCTCCTCGACCTCGGACACGACGACAGCCTCCTCCACCTCGGGATCGTCGGGCTCGGCAGCGGCCAGGCGCCGCAGACGCCTGCGTCGTCGTCTGGCCCGTCAGCGCCAGCGCCGCGAGCGCCAGAGGCAGCGCCAGACCCAGAGGCTCCGCAACCGCATCCAGAACCAGCGCCGCGTGATCAACCAGCTCCAAGGATAAGCGGCAGCTCAGAGACGCATCCGAGAGATCGCCCACTCTTGAAACACTTACCTTTAAGCACCGCTGAAATATGAAAAAATTGAATATACGAGTATTTTGAAAATGTATTCCGATGCGCCCTCCTTTACATCCAAAATCCATCTCTGGGACTGGGACTGGGGCTGGGAGTGGGACCCACCGATCCCCGATCCCCGATCCCCGATCTATGGGATTCGGTTGATTATTCACTGAAGGGAGGGCAGAGACTGTACTGTGCATAGAGCCCGTTTGGGAAGTCCACATCCTGTAGGTGTACCGATGGTTCCCTTGAAGATCGGGACCATCTTCAGTACATCTCCAGGAGAGGCATTATCACGGGTTCTATGGGGGATAGCAGATCACCTTGCGTATGAAAATTGCCATTAGAAACGTTGGATAATGATTGGAGCATTACAATAGCCTGAAAGACTCGTCCTTGACTAGTTCCCCATGAAGCGTCTTGTCGGTCTGTTGCCGTACCGATGGGCACCACCCTCGAATATCTGTCCGTGTAAATGCATCCACCCATCCGTCGATCCACCCACCGATCCACGTTGCAGGAAGTATTTGCCCGCCTAGAGCCTATAGCCCCTCAGAATGGGTTCTGCCCCAACAGACCACTAATCCCACACGCGACCCACTCGCGAGCCGCCAAAAGAACTGCTTGTTGTGTGTACCGAGACCAATGTCAATCGAGAAGCTGCGCAAACACCTCCGAGGGTCAACCGTGGTGTTTGCCGATTGAATCGGGCGGAATTCTCGGAGTGGGGGCCTTCTTCTGGGCAAGATCTGGTATAAAAGCCGCCACAGATCGCCAGATCAGACACACAGCACCTCACCATGCGCTTCTCATTCGTTCTCCTCCTCGCGGTCCTCGGCTGCTTCCTGCTGGCCCGGGAGGGTGGTGCCACAGGCACCTCCACCACCGTGGCCTCCACCAGCAGCAGCACCACCACCAGCTCCTCGGCCACCAGCACCACCGCCGCGACGTCCACTGCCACCACAACAGTCGCTCCCTCCACCGCCACCACCACTGTGGCCTCCTCGACCTCGGACACGACCACGGCGTCGTCCTCCTCCTCGGGATCCTCGGGATCCTCGGGCTCGAGCTCGGGCTCGGCAGCGGCCAGGCGTCGCAGACGCGCCTTCATTCGTCGTCGTCGCCAGCTGAGGAGGCAGCGCCAGGAGCGCAGGAGGCGCCGCATGCTGCAGCTGTACGAGCGGCAGCGCCGGCTGATCAGCCAGCTCAGCGGCTAGGCGGTGGCGGGAGGAGCCCTCGGCCAGCGAGGGGGCGGAAGCTAATACATAAATAAAGCCCAAGATGCCTTTAAAGAGAAGTGTCCTTTAAGTCTTGTCCGCTTGGGGGATTTGTGGTGCGGGTTCCCTGGGTGCCTTCCGGCGCATCATCCTATAAGCCCTGCCGGCACTGGCTCTTTGGCTCTTTGGGGCACTTTATCAGCGCTTAAACACATCTCCATCTCCAGCTCCATCGCGGGCCGCCCCCACGCACATTTACATAGTTCGCATTCAATCAGTCGGGAGCACAGATGTGGCATCCCCGCATCCCCGCAACCCCGCAATCCTCAATCATCAATCCTCAATCCTCAATCCTGGGCTGGCAGACAATTGGCCCTCTCCCAGGAGTTTATTGTGCCCGGGATTGAGCGCTTAAAAATGCTTTCCTTGTAGCCAAAAGAGAGTGGCAGTGAGCCAGTGAGCCGCAGCCAGGAATCAAATCAAATAAAATATTCATTTTGATCTTTGAACTGTGCATAAATATGCAGCTGCCGAAGGGGAGGGGCCTGGGGAGGGGGGTACTTGTACGAGTATCTGCGATACGTATACAAATTCTGTGTGTATAAATGTATAAAAGATGCGGTTTGGCGACGGCACTTCATCATCTTGCTCGTCCTCGTCCTCGTCCGCGTGCGACACCCCCCCGCGCCCCCTGGGGCCCCCCTGAAAGAGAAAATGGAAAAAGGAAAATGATTTCGCATTTGGCCCCATTGTGTGGGGAATCGAAGAAAAAGCGGATATGAATAGCTGGAGTGGAGCGCCGCCTCGTGCCACTGCGAATCGATTCAAGATTAGGGTTAAGGGATTTAGTCGGAGCCACAGTTGCCATAGTATTCCAAGGCAAATTTATGGCTTTGTGTCCGTTAATTGCTCGACGGAAGAGCTCGTCCGTGGAACCAATTTCGGATCAGATTTGCCTGCCACAAAGCCACTGAGGAGGTGACTGCGGCCTCGAGCCACTAAAAGGGAGCTGAGATCCCTGATTGTTGACAGACCTTGCAGACCTCTTAGCCACCTCTAAGTAGGGAAAAAAGAGCACTCAACCTCTGACGAGTGTCTTCCCCTAGTTTCGGTACTCTCACACCCCAGGAACACGGGTAAGGAGGGAGGGAGGGAGCTTCTTCTCGCCCTTCTCGCGGAGACAGTTATTAGAATCGAGAGCAGGCATCGGCCTCGATGAGGTTAACCTTTGAGACTTGTGCCGGGCCTAAGCCCGATGTCCCGGATACCTGTACCACTGCACCGCAACACGGAATTGGCCTTGTTTCGAGATTTAAGTGAGATTGGAGCCGTGTTGAGTAAGCCTGCAAAACAGGAGATTTATAGCCCCAAAATGTCCTGGTCCCTGGTCCCTGTCTCTGTCCCTGGCCCATAATCAACTAATTCAATAAACCCACAGCAGGGGGGAGACACCAGTCCCTGGTAGTGGGGTGGAGGGGGGAGTCTCTTCGAATGTTCTGCCGAATAACATGAGGCTCTGTGATTTATACCCAGGGAGTGTGAAATACAACGAAATAAAACGAAAATTTCCTCTGCGGCCGAGGGGATATGTGAGCGTCCTGAATGTCCTGAATGTCCTGTATCCTTGTAGCTACAACTTAATGCGCAACAACGAATGGCATGCAATGACCAAAAGAAAACCAACAAAAAAATAACAGAAAAGAATCAAATATATGTCTTCTTTACCCCCCAACCACCCCCCACCCTCCCCGTTTGGAGCTCGAGGCTCTGAGATTGTTTAGCATGTCCTTTGCTATTCAAACAATTTGCATATCCTTTTAGTGCAGCGAGTGGACTTAAGAAATCAACAACAACAACAACAACAGCTGCAGGCATACTAGGAGGAGGTGCGAGGAGTGTGTCCTGGACGCAGGCATACTAGGAGGAGGTGCGAGGAGTGTGTCCTGGACGCAGGCATACCAACACGACAGTCAACCAAAATCCAATGTCAGCTCAAGAATTCCAGAGCCAGAGCGGGGAAGAGCACCCAGAGCCGGAGTCCTGGATGAATGCCCGTCAAATCCTGGGACGCTCCTTTCGGGGGGGTAGGAGCCGGAGTCCCCTCCGATTTGGCCACATTTTATTTGTGGAAAACAAACCTCTGGCGAAAGCAGTTGGACTCCGGGTGCTCCAAGGGTATTCGTTCCTTGGATAGAGTTTTATTTAACACGTTCGAGGGGTGGCCAGGCGAGCTTTAATGCCAGAGGGGGGGGAGCGGGGAGGGCTGCACAGACGGAGGGATGTATTCAAGTGAATAGGTCCGCGTCCTTGCGGAGCTCCACTGCGGACCCGTCCTCGTCCCCGTCCCCGTCCACGACCAGTTGGCAGCCATAATATTTATGCGCAGACGTTGCTCAATAAGCTGCTCAAGGATTTATTAGCCAAATGGACAGATTTGACTGGCTGGCAGGCTGGCTGGCTGGCTGGCTGGGATGCAAGTCGTGCTGGCTGGCTGGCTGGCTGGCTGGCTGGCTGGCCTGTGGCATGTGGCATGTGGCATATGTGTGAGGCTGCCAAGTGGTCCTTCCACCGGGAGAAATCTGCCTGTCGTTGCAGAGACCTTAACGCCACATTAGAGAAATGTTCATTGCCTGGGGGGGGGGCGGGGGATGAGGGTGGGTCGGGGGGTGGTGGCTCCCAAGTCGTAGCCAACTTATTGATGAATGTTTTCAAAATGTTTGCATTGAATGGCAATTTTTCAAGATTTACTGCAATCGGAAGAACCCTTTTGGGGTGCCTCCGTGGGGGTGTCGGTGGGTGGAGAGCAGCTGGCCCACGACTGCGTGGCGGGGGGCGGGGGGTGCGGAGGGGTGTGGCTTTGTGTGCCTGTCTAATGGAGCTTAAATGGCCGTTGGCTTGACCCCTCAACTTTTTCTTGGCCGTTGAAAAAGTTTTCCCCAAGTTCAACAAAGTGAAAACAAATGCATTGTGTGTGTGTGGATCGGATTGGGGCATTTTCGAGGGCTTAGCACAATGAAATTCACCTTTTTGCACCTTTTTTTTACCCCGCCCCACCACCCTATTTCCCTTTGTGGTCCAGGGGGGGCGGGCAAGGGGGCTTGCAGATTTGTCGAGAGATTTGTGCTGCTTGTATTCCGTTGCCCCTTTTCGAGGCCCATTATGCGCGGTAATTGAAATTGAAATTGTGATTGGCAATCAGTGGCAACTTGTTAGCATTCCGTTGGCATTGTTACAGTCGCTTTATTGCTTCCTCAGTGAATCCAGTCAGCCAGTCCCCAGTCCCCAGTCTCCAGTCCCCCCACCCATAAATCATAAAACACCCGAGAGCCCCCCGAGAGCTGGGGCCACCTTCAAATGGCCAAAAGCGTTTTTAAAAACTGTCACCGTCAACGCCGGATCACAATAAACACGACGGACACAAACACACAATTGGCAAACATTTCATTGCGAATATATTGAATAATAATTCGATGATATTTGGACCTTTTGTGGGCCTTTTGTTTTCATCCGGGGCTCGGGGCTCGGGGCACCCGGGGCACCCGGGATGGCGCTCCATTTTAATTCAATTTGTGGATGCGGCGCCAAAAACCATGCAAATGTCGAGTGTCACGCCGAACGAACGTTTCAAATGCCCAAAAATATGACAAATCTAATAGAAGATGACACTGATGGATAGACAGATTTTAGGGGAACACCACCAGGTCCCCACCAGGCCCCCACCAGGCCCCCACCAGGGCCCTCCCGCCGGGCGATACTTTTAGGAGACCTGCTCTTGTTGTTGGTAAACAATTTTATTTGCTTTTGCTGCGGCTAACATGAAAGTGAGTGAGAGGGAGAGATAGAGATAGAGAGAGAGAAAAAAAAACACGAAAAATACCATTGAGACATGAGACACGATCCCGGGAAGGGGGCGGCGGCGGCGGGGGATCACCATTGAGGAGGCACCGCTCCTAGACGGTCTTGGGCAGCATGGCGAATATGCCAGGCTTGAGGTTGTTCACGTCCTGGACGTTGAACTCCCCGGTGAAGTGATCGTCCATTATGAGAGTGCGCTTCTTGGCGGCGTCCAGCAGATGGGCCTGCCAGATGATGTCGAACTCGAGCTCCGGCAGCATGGCGGTGGTCGGGTCCTCGGGCCACCAGAACTTGTTGATGAAGTACGCGCCCTGTAAGTGACGAGTGCGGAGTGAGTGGGGGTGGAGTTTGCGATGCAGCTTGTACCGGCCCTGGAACGTGGCCTGGCCGTGAGACGGGGACTCTCTGTGGATGCGGCACTCACCTTGGCGATGGGGCAGTTGTCGATGATGTGGCCGAACTCCCGGATGAAGCCGTGCACAAAGCGGCCCACGGGCGACTGGTTCGCGAAGCCCAGGATGCGGCACACGTTGAGGGTGGTCACCAGGGTGGTCGTGTAGTGGGAGTCCACCTTGTTGGTGATGCGCACCTCCAGGTGGATGTCGACGTCCTTCAGCTCCTGGTGCACCTCCATCGAGAAGTTCAGGTGCGGATCGCTGTTGTCGTACACCACCTTGTGGCTGACGAACTTCTCGTCGCTCCAGATTTTGATCTCCTTGAATTTGGGCCGCATCATTTTCTGGAATGGTGCGCGGAGTGGAGGAGGGCAGAAGTGGGGATTAGAACCGGCTTGAAGGCCCAAACGGAGCACTCACCTCGGCCAGGGAGCCGTGGCAGATGGCCAGCAGGACTTGCACCACAACTAGAGTCTTCGGTAACATGATGGACCAGCTCGTGGACTTCACTGGCTCTTCTCAGCGGCTGGCCCGCCTTTTATAGCCGATCCAGGCTGCTAATGGTCCAAGTGATTTCGATTTCGATCGGGCAGGCCTCAGTGCGTTTGCAAAGTCCATATCCACCTCCATTTAGTTGACCTAATTCCCCGTGGCCACCGATTGGATCGATTTGGGGGCTGGCTAATGCCTGCACCGCTTTGCCCTCCATTGAGGCCTGACTAATCGCCCAATTGCCGGAATATATAAGTGGCGGCTAATTGCAAAAGTGTCCCAGTGTCCCCCCAGTGGGTAAATTGAAACAAGATGCGTGTGGTGCCCACGCTAAACCGAAGCTCGAGCTGGTGCTGGTACTCCCCGGTGCTGCTACTCTTGGTGCTTGGCCCCATGACGGGCGCCTGGGTGAGTTCCCCGGGCCGTGCGGGGGGATGAGGAAACACTCTGCAGCACCGACTAAATGACCCTCCCCACCTCCCCCCCCCAACCGCGACAGCGTTCTTTCAAGGTGATCCTCACGGGCGTGGAGTACGAGGCCAACGGCAAAGTCGTGGACCTGAACGTGCAGCTGCACAACGACTCGGGCGACTCGAGGATCAGCGTGGACGTGACCACACACGCGGACCTGCCGGACGTCCAGCTGCAGATCAACGTGGCCCTGGAGACGGACACGGGCAACTACTCGACGCTGATCAACCGAACCGTGAACTTCTGCAAGATGATGAAGCAGCGCAGCTCGGATCCCCTGGTGCGGCTCCTCTACGACGACCTGCTCAAGCACGGCAGCTTCTTCAAGGAGTGCCCCGTCCGGAGCGGCACCTACAGCCTCCGCGGCTACAGGGTGGACGAGGAGACGCTGCCCAGCTTCCTGCCCGAGGCAAACTTCAAGCTGGTCGTCCTCATCCTCAGGCCCAAGAACGAGATGCTCTCGCGGACCACCATCTATGGGCGCATCGACAAGTCCAAGGGATTCGACAATCTCAAGAGGTTCAGCCTAGGCTGAGAAGAGAGAGAGACAGCGAGAGAGAGACAGGGAGAGAGCTTCCTCCAATAAAGACACGAGAACCCAAACCCCAGAACCCCAGACTGTCTGTAGTTTAGTATGCAAAATGCCTTTTGTCGCACGATTGACGTCGTCATTGTCGCCTTGTGCTGCTCCCCATTCCCCCCTCCCCCCACCACCATCATCCGCATCCCATTCCATCCCAGAGGCTTCTCTCCATCTCGTCACGTGTTTGCCTGCTCGACTGCGAAATTCGCATGTTTGCCCAACGACGACGACGACGACGACGACGACGGTGACAAGCTGTCTGCAGGCAGCCGTCGGCGGAGGCAGCGCAATTGATGACGATGATAATGGCACCAGAGGGGGGGGGGGGGGGGCGGAGGGGCACCAGAGGATGGGTGCACCTGATGAGCAACAGACGACAATGATTTAGGTAGGAACTGCTCGAGTGGAGACACCACCCGCCACCCCCCACCCCCCATCCCCCACATGGCACCCACACACATGTCAGACGGCGAGAGTCGGCAATAGTCAGGTCTCATATTCATAAGCAGATCCCGAATAGCCACGTAACCAGAGCCTACGGAACTTGGCACAAAAACTTGTAGATATCTAAGAGATAGAGACAGGGCACCCCCCTCCGTCCCCAGCCCCGCCTGTAATTAAGGATGCACTGCACATCGCACCCGCGTTTGAGAGTCGTTGACAGCGCCACTCCATGAGTCATTCCGGTAGCCAAATACTTGGTTTTTTACCCCATCTATATATCTAAGGCCCGGCCTCGTTGCGAGGGCGATAAATCTCGCGTAGAAAAGTGCAATAACTTAGAGGCTGGCGGCTCCTTTGAGGAGCGTTCTCTCTCTCCCTGCACAGAGCTACCCCTATATCATTTCGGGACCGAAGCCGGGGCCTGATCGTAATTGCTTCAGCCGTGTCTCGGCTCTCCGAGTGTTACTTTGAATAATGGATATGGATGTCCATTCCGTCCATCCCGTCCACCCGTTTATGTGTCTGTTGTTCCAACTTTCGCAGTGTCCTTCCGTCCACGGGAGGGGGACGGGGGGCTGGCTGTAAATTTATGCAATTATCGTTTCGCTTGAATTGTCCGAAATTAAATTTGTTATATAAAAATGTTAATTTTTGTACGTTTCGTTCCGTTCTGTTTCTGTTTCTGTTTCTTCTGTTGTATACGCATTCAATTATCGACATTTGAGTGACTTTTATTGAATTTATTCCATTGCCTGTTGCCTGCTGGCTGTAAATGAAATGCAATCGAGTTGTCGCGTTTTTTTCGGCTATAAGGTTATCAATTATTATTGTCACATTGTCGCAGATTGATTGGGGATTGGGGATTGGGGATTGGGCCACTCTTTGGCACTCTTCGATTCCAATCAGGTGCTCGCATAAAACCCGATAGACCCGGGCCAAAATCCGTTTCCAAATTGCATTTAAATAGTTCTGCTGCTGGAATAACCGGCAAATAAATTATGTGAGATAATAAAACGACTCGCGGCAGTCCGAAGAGTGCGAAGAGCTCGAAGAAAACCTAGAAATTGGGTTAGATATATGCAAATCGAACCCAAGGGAAGGAAGAATATTGATGAGCCGCCGACTGTGGGTTGGGTTATGGATTCACGGCCCAGTTATGGATGATAGACCACCACTCCCAGTTATGATGGGGCGGATGGGCGGGTGGGGCAGGGTTCGTTGAACTGCCCCCTAGATTATATCACAGGTCTTCTTCCCAGCGCTGTCGCTGGCGACGACGCTTTCTACATTTCAATTGAAGATTCCGGCAAGACCTTAACCCCGAAAGCGGCGGTTCTTTGGGTTAGAAATCCCCCCCCCCCGCTCCCAAAAAATTTGCATTCGCTCCGTCTCCGATCTGCAGTCGAAATCAAACTTCAATTGGAATGCAAATGGTGGCCCCGCGCGGGGCCAGGCCAAAAAGAAAGGCGAAAGGGTGTTAAACTATATTTGAAGTCTCTCCGGTCGCCATATCGGACGGATGGACGGATGGACGGACGGACGGATAGATGGATGGCTCCGAGTTTCTTGATTGTCGGGTTCAATGGCTTTGCCAAAAGTTTCTCTCCCACTCTTCTCTTTTTTTTTGTGTTTTTCGCGAGCTTGAGTGAATTGAAATTTAAAGTTTTTGCAAATGCCGCGAGCCGGAGTCGGAGCCGTAGCCGTAGCCGTAGCCGAAGCCGAAGCCGAAGCCGGAGTTTGTTCAACTATGAAAATCCACTTACAAAAATTATGTTAATTGCAACGAAGGAAAAGGGCGGGCCCAGCCGAAAAGAAATGAATTCTTATTAAATCAGGCCGTGGACATGGAGGGGCGGGGATGGGGATGGGGATGGGGACCCGGCATAACTGACAGACAGACAATCGGCAAACAAACAGATTGCCAAAAATAACAGTCGACGACAGCGAGTAACAGATGAAATCTCAGGCTTTTAATACTCTTTCAAGGGGCATGGAGGATGCACTTTCGAGGCAGTAATGCCACAGTTGCCAGGCATGACATTCCCCCGGGGGAATGCTGGAACAACCGTCTAGGGTATCCCCATCTTCGGACCTCCTTTCTCTTGGCGGGGAGGGGGGGGCTGCGACGCCAGTCAAAGGGCCCCAGACCGAGCCCAATATTTGCACTTTGAAGCATTTTGCCAGCTGAGAGTTAATTTTCACAGTCTTTTGGCATCTTTGTCTTGTACATTATTGGCTCTGTGCCGGGCTCTCTGCCGGGCTCTGTGCCGGGCTCTCGGCTCAGACATCATGAAGGGCTTGGCAAATAATCGGGCGAGGCAGGCATTTGGTAATCAGTTTTTGCTAAAGTTTTAATGCATTTAAAATAAAGTTATACCCCGATGGAAACCCAGAAGTGGGGCCCCCCTCTTTCCGCATAAAAAAACTGACTAGAATCGAAAGAATTTATTTGTTCCTGCTCGCCGCCGGCGGCGTCGTCAGCGGCGTCGTCAGCGACGTCCTCCTTGTCGACCAACTTATTGCAATTGCTACAAATTTTTACATAAATTTACGCTATGACAAGGCTCCCCCTCCATCCTCCATAGCCCCCTCCCCTCCCCTCTCCTCTCCTCTCCTAGTTCTAGTTCCTCGCATTATGCAGGCCACGTTGGCATTTTCCGTATTTTTTTCCAGCGGCTAAGGGGATTCTTTTTGTGCGAGGATTCGTGGTGGTGGCTCCTTGCCGTTTGAGTCGTTTCTTTTATTTTTTTTTGTTCCCAGGTGGAAATCCACTTTCAATTGTTTGGGGGGCCCTGCCTTTGGCGTCCTGGAGGTTTACATATTGCTCATTTCGGGCTGGGGGGAGGTCCTGGTCCTGGAGCGGACTCCTCGCTTATTGCCGCTGTCTGTTGAAGTGTAAACATTTTCGCAGAAGGTGTAAATAAAATCTTGTAAAGCGTTGCCACTGCCTCTGGCTGCCGCTCCTCCACCTCCTCCTCCCCCTGCTCCTGCGGAAGTCTGCTAAGCTCCTGCCATTCCCTGATTGTTTGTTCCCTTCCCGATTGGGCAGATCCTCCTCTCTCCGCCTCTCTGTCTGTGTGTGTCAACAAAATTTGTGCAAATAAGCCGGAAAACTGGCTGAATATTGATGGAGCTCTCGACGGGGGGGCGGCGGCGGGCTTTGAGGGGGGGGGGGGTGCGATGATAGGTCCAATTCATCCAATGACAATGACCGAAAATTCCGCCTAATGGCCCTGGGGCTCGGGCCTGGGCTCTGGCTCGAAATGTTGTTTATTTTTACGAGATTCCCATTAACGTGGAAGAGCTCATTAAACGCTCGAAAATTGCCAGCGAACCGCAGCCCCAATGGGCTCCACTATTTTCCACCTATGTGTGTGCTAAAATTAATGCCAACAACTCAATAATTTCCAATAAATGAACAGCCTCCGGGGCACAGTGGGCGGAATCGGATGGAAAGTGAATATTTGCGAATTCTAGGGGAAAGTCTGGCATTTCTAAAAACAAGTTTCATGCATCCCTCGAGGGTTTGCCCGCCTTGGAAAAAGCTATAAAAATATATTTTTTAAATATCCTCAATTATTCGATTAGTTATATATTTTCTCCTAATTCTCTATGGGATCTGAATGGCTTCCAAAATTCCACAGATTTCTAAACTCCTAGTGGTTCGCGATGCATCCAATAATATGGTATCTATATCCCCTAATCGAATGTATTCCCCCCGAAATAATATCTTTATCTGGGAATTCCCATTGAACGCACCACAGATGCCATGGGCTCCACAGCTGTCCGGTGGCCGGGGGCAGGGGGCAGGGGGCCAGGGACCGGGGGCAGGGGGTGCATTTGTGGTGTCTATTTAATTACAATTGTCGCTGTCGCCGCAATCCGTGTCCTGTGCAACGGCAACTGCAATTAACGCACTCCGGCCGGAGCCAGAGCCGGACCCGGACCCGGACCCCGGGATGCATGTCGTTGAATGTGGCTGCAGAGGGGGCTTTATCTCCATCGAGGGCGGTGCTGGGCGATTATTTTACGCTCAATTATTGTTAAATATTTCACAAAATGCGAATATTTATTTTAACACACGGCAAATTGGCCCGCTCGGACCTCTCGGACCACCCGGACCACCCGGACCACTCGGACCGCTCGGTGTCCGTGTCATGTCCGTGTTTCGGTTTGCCGGCCGAGTGTCCTAATGAGATTGCAATTATTTGGCCATAAATTCGTATTATTCGGGCTTTAAAGTTCATGCACTCCTGGCACTCCTGGCACTCCAGTGGGACACATTTTTCCCTGCTCTGCTGTGCTCTGCAGGATGCTCGCCATGCTCTCGATGCTCTCCTGAATTAACCCTCGTGCAGTGACAGCATTTAATTTGAAATTATGTATTAATTAATTGGCCAACGGCACTGGACATTATAATTAAATATTTAATTTATGGCATCTAATTGGGCCATTAGTCAAGTGCGGGCCGAAAGGCCCGGAGTCCACTGTTCGTTGCACTTTGTTGACGAACTTTTTCGCCCCCGAATAAACCTCAAGGGGCAGTAAATGCGATATCAGTGGGTTCTAAACACCCAAAGCGGCCTTCAATCGTGGCTCAAACTCGTTGAAAGGGGATACATGAGGGACTGGAAGTCTATAACTTGCTATAAATAGGAATGTTTTACCTTTTCCTAGGTCCAAAATGTTCGAAATTCATCAAGAAATATTTTACAAAATTACAAATACAATTGGAATCGATTTTGAACCGTTTTTAGTCCAGATTTGAGACTATTTAGAGCCTCTTTTAGCCCCTTTTAGCCCAGTTAGGCCCCTTTTAGAAAATGGTGAAAAATATGTTATGAATCCAAGCGGCTGGAAAACCCCCAAGCAGTGTGCCGAAACGTTTTGAAACACTCTTCAAAAAAGGTGTAAATTAAAGGCGCGCCTTTGGGGTGTTGGGCTTTAAAAGTCGCAGCATACTTTTAGGCGGGACCCGAGGCCGAGCCAACACAAAGCACGTGGGCCCCCCGTCGAGTGGGGGGCTTGGCGGGGGGGCATGCATATGTGGCACTGGCTGGGGCACAGGCACAGCCACAGCAAATATTGAACAACATTGGCTGGGAATATTGAAATACTTTCGGGGACTGTTTCCGCAATGCCCTGCCTCCCTGCCTCCCTGCCTCGCTGCCTCGCTGCCCTCCGCTCCGGGGATAGTTTTTCCTTTTTGTGTTTGTCTTTTGGTTTTTCCTGCTCTCCCATTGTCTGCTGGGGATCCACCTCTGTCCCCCTCCCTGCTGCCCGTGCTATTGTCTGTTTACCTTGGGTGCTCCGACTGCATTTTCGGGGCTGTCTTTTGGGCCCAGAACGCTGCGAATTTATTGCAATCACGCACGAGATTTGTCGCTTGCGAGAAAAAGAGGCGCAGCGGAGGGGTGGGGAGGGGAGGGGCCGCCGCAAACCGCAGAATGTTGCAACTAAAAGGCCGAAAACGCATTGCGCATTAAATTTAAACTAATTGTTTGGCATTTGTAATGGCTGGGCCGCTGCGCCAAACGTTTTAATTGTGGCATCTGCCACAACAGCAGTTGCAACAAATTATTGGCAGGCTTCAAAAAGCCAATGATGCCCCAAACCAAAGGAGTGCGAGGGCTCTGCGGGTAGATTTCGACTGAAGGATACCCTCGAAACGATTCGGATGGCTTGTGAGGCGCCACACCCCACGTTTGGCTCCAATCTCCAGCCATGGACTCGACTAAAGACCTACCCTCTTCCCTTTTCGCTGGGGTAACCCATATACCCTGCTTCTACAGGGCATACAACAAACAAAAAAAAGGGACTGGAAAACCTGCATAAAAAATGTAAATTAATTTGGGGTCTGGGGTCTGTTTGCGGCAATTAATTTGAACACGCGGCTCCGCCTTTATTTCTGGTCGCGTTTCCGGTTCCGGTTTTGACTTTGGCATATGTGCGGTTACCCACCATCCCCCCAATCCCCCCAATCCCCCATCCCTCCATCCCCAATCCCCTTTGTTTATGGCTCTATTTGCAGAATGCAGTCGTTTGTTGCACGGGACGTCTGAGGGGGGCTGCATTGACTAGCTTCTGCTGACGTCCATCCTGATATATTTCAGCGGTCCGAGCCGGGCCGGACAGTGTCTGGGACTTCTATGCGGCCACTAAGGCAACAGTTGAAGGACACTAATGCCTTCGAGAGGAGAGCAGGAGCGAAGGACAGCAGTGTGTGTGTGTGTAGCCCTGTTTGCTGCTGGTAGGTTAAAGGGTTCTCCTGAGCTGTTGTTTTGTCGCACACTTTATTATTGACTCGACTAAAGATTTACCTTTCCCGATTTTCCCACTCCCACTGCCACTCCCTCTCCCTCCTTCCCTCCACCGCTCCCAGATCCCCAGTCTTTCATTTGGGCTTCGGCTTGGCCTTGCCGTAGAGCTGCTCGGGCGTTGGAATGTCGCTCACAAAGAAGTTGGCTGGAATGTAGTGGAATATCTTCTTGAGGACGTCCAGCAGAATGTCCTCGATGGTCTGGGTGATCACCGTGTAGAGGGCATCGGCCAGCATGCGCCAGTTGTCGTTGAAGAACTTGTTGGTGCTGTCCTCTGCGGCAAAGAAAAGGGCAACATATCAAGAGGGGGCACGGGGGGCACAGGGGGCACAGGGGCACGGAACGGATCGCACTCACCCAACTGCTTGTTGCCGTTGAACAGATTGGAGAAGTACGACCGGAGGCCATCCATCTTGAAGTCCACGCGGCAGTTGGTCACGTTGTAGAAGGTGAAGCCCCCCTTCGAGTACAGTCGCGTCTTGGTGTGCATCGTCACCGTCATGTTGTCGGCGTCGAGGAACACCTGGCCCCGCCCATTCAAGGGGATGAGCAGAATGCGCCCGAACAGGCTGTAGTCGCCCTTGAGCTTCATCACCGGCAGCGTGAAGGTTGTCTTCCAGCTGTAGTCCTTCTTGAAGACCCTGAAGGGATGGAAGAGGGTCAATCGGGTGTCCCCAATGGTGGTGGCTTACTGGCTGGTGACTTACTGGCTCTCCAGGACATGGGTGTGGCCGAAGCCCACGATCTTGACATTCGCCAGCTCCACTTTGAGATTGATCGCGTTGCTGTTGCCCTGCGAGATCCGGATGCGGTTCAGGTGGAACGGATCGAAGCTCTTGATGCTCGTGAGGCCGGGTATGCCTGCGAAGGGTATCCAAATGGCGATGGGGATGGCGATCTACAGACACCTGGGCTGGGCTACTCACCGTCGTTGAGCTTGTCGAAGAGCTGCTGGATGCTCTGGGTCGAGCAGTTGACAAAGTTCCTATCGGCTATCCTACACTCCTTGATGTAATCTGCTGCGGTTCGATATTCGGTTTAAGGAGACACGGCGAGAAGCCAGAGAAACAGAGATCCGGTTTAGTGGTGCAATATTTTGTTGGCCAGGGGCCGGGATCTCCGGGGCACGGGGACCCTAGAGTAGGGTCTCTGCTCTCTACACTTACGCGGCTCTGTGAGAAACCCATCGTCTCCTCGAACCAGGGAAACGGCCAAGGCCAAGCCCAGCCCAGCCACCAGCCAAGACCATCCACGTTCCGAGGGCACACTCATCGTTTACGCGTTCAAGATTCGAGGAACCGCCTGTGTCCAGTGCCTGGGGCCCAATGTCGACCAGCTCCAGCGGACTGCAAATGAAAACTGAAAATGAACTGAATGAAAAGCCCAATTTCGATTTCGATTTCCATATTTTGAGCGCGGCTTTCGTTCAAACGAAACTTGATTTGAGTGGCTTGCGAAAATTTCGCAATCCCATAGCCATAGCCATAGCGTCTGCAGTTGTTGGCCTGTTGGCTTGTTGGCTTGTTGGCCTGCTGGCTTGTTGGCCAATCTGCTGGCTGCCAAGAGAACAGTAGTACGATAGTTGTTGAGCACTTGCTGCGGCAGTTTCCACAGTTTCCACTGGCGTTTCGTCATCGATCGATCGCTTGCATCGTATCGTATCGTATCGTATCGTATCGGATCGCTGTGTGGGGAAACGAAACGAATGTTGACACTTGGCCGACCGGCTGGTTGTTGCAACATCGCGTGGACAAACATCTGGACACCGCAGGTGGAAGTCTGCCGTCCCGCCCGTCCCCCTGCAAAGGGAATTACTGTCCGTCAACGGAGGTCTTAGGACCGAAGGAGAAACAAGAAACAAGAAACGAACAAGAAACAAGTCTCTATGGCCCCCATATATCAGGATAGCTGTCAGTTGTGTGTGCCCCCCACCCCGCGCCCCCACCCCCTGGAAAAGTGGGGGGAAACTCCTTGCAAGAAGTCAGCAATTTTTCATTGCCCCATGCCCCATGCCTCGTGCCTCGTGCCTCGTGTCTCGTGCGTTTTTTAAGGGGCAATCAACTAAGTGAAGTTCTTGGCCAAAGAAACTGATTTATTGCGCTCATTTCATAAATTAAGTTATTGCATTGATGGATTCCGAAAGTCCGAAACACCGAAAGCCCCATCGAGGGAAAATCAAATTAAATGCGATTTCTCTCCCCCCTTCAGGTGGCGTCCCTTTGTGGAGGGGGAGGGGGGCAGAACTTAAAAATATGAAAGTAAACCCATTTGGCTTATCCGCCGTAATAATCATTAGACCAGTGGAGCGGACAGAGGCGGACAGGGGCGGACTGGGGCGGACAGAGGCGGACAGGGGCGGACAGAGGCGGACAGGGACGGCCAAGGGCGGACAAGGGCGGTCAGGGGCGGACAGGGGCGGACAGGGGCGTACAGGGGCGGACAGGGACGGACTTGGGCGGACAGGGACGGACAGGGGTGGACAGAGGCGGTCAGGGGCCGACAGAGGCGGCCAGGGACGGGGACAGGGGCAGCCAGGGGCGGTCAGGGACGGACAGGGGCGGACTGGGGCGGACAGAGGCGGACAAAGGCATAATTAAGTCCTAAAACAATGAGCACAACATCACAAATAATTATCTCGAAGAGAGGGCGAGAGAAAGCGAGAGAGATTCTTTGGGGCTTCCCCAGAGTTGCCCAAAAAATTCTCCAAGTTAATTTGCATGAAGTGGGGGGTGGGGGGGAAAAGGGCAGGAAACAGGAAAAGGGCAGCGAGACAAATAAAGGCGCAACCGGTGAGAGGGCAGGGGACCGGGGACCGGGGGACCGGGGACCTGGGACCAGAGACAGAGCAAATATTAATCCGCAAAAAGGAATTGTCACAAATTGTATATGTGTGAGTGTGTCTGTGTGTGTGTGTGTCCGTCCTTTGCTTTGCTTTCTTCCCAGTAGCGTAGTCGCCAGCCCTTTCGAGGGGGGGCCAGCCTTAGCCCCTGCGAAGCCCCCTTTGTCTGCCCTGGACTCTCTCCTGTGGCCGTTGGGGGCAAACAACAGCTGCAGCTGGACAGAAAAAGGACAAAAGGACTCGGAAGTTGCGTGTGAGGGGGCCGAGGGGGGTCGCTGATTGTTTCAAATCGCAAGTTTGGCTTACCTTTTGGGGAATTAATTTGCCAAATAAACGCTGACAAAATGCAGGCAACTGGACAAGGACAAAGCCGGGCACAGGCACAGGTCCAGGCACGGCACGGTAGAGATCCAACTAATAGGATTTTGATGATAGTTGCTTGGCCACGGCCGTGTGGATCCCATGCGGATGCTGTGTGGGGCGGAGCAGTGGGCAGGGGGCAGGGGGCATTGCAGTGTTGCTGCCACCATAATCAATTTTTGCCCAGTTTCTCTCTATCTCTCCTCTAACCTCTCTGTCGCTTTCTATAGTTCAGATGATTGTAGCTCTTGACCCATGAAATGAGTTTTGCCATGTGTGAGGGTATGTGTGTGTGTGGGGGGGTGTGTGTGTGTGTTTGGGGGGGGGGTGTGGCCAAAAGAACTGCCAACTGAGCCGCAAAACCAAAAGCTGCGGCACATTTTGTATTCATGACTTTATCTCTCGCTCTCTCCCATGCCAGGGCTGCACTGGGCCCCCCCGGCCCCCCCCGAAACCCCACAAGAAACCGCAGCAAGCTTTTCTTTTTGTGTTTTATTTTGGTAAATATTTGTACGTGGCTCTCCAGCCCTGGTAAGCCCTCCCCCTCTCCACCTCTCTCCCCCACGCTCTCCCTTTTTGCAGACGGCTGCATTATAATTAATTTTAGTGGCCCAAATATGTAAATTTCTGATTACGAAAGCAGTAAACAAAAATTGAGAATAATATTCACAAATATTACGCATACGCACAAGTGGCATATACCCTTAAAAAAGAAAAAAAAAACAAAAAAAAAAGAAAGCGTCCTTCTCTAAGCGGCTTAAACTGACAGGTTTCCACGTAGGTAGAGATGGCCCTCCCCCTCCTGCCGCCGGCCGCCGCATCCACATGTGTGACCAGACCATGTTCCGGTACAGTCCTGCAGCCCCACAGTCCTGCTGTCCTGCAGTCCTGCAGTTCATCAGCAGAACTGAAACTTTGACTCGTTACAGCCGGAGGCAAAGTTTCGCCTCTCTTTGGCGCCCTTCGTTAGGATTTTTTCCTGCGCGACTTTCTGACTTTAACTTTCAATGGAATTCCATAATAGTTTTTTTTTTGTGTGTGTCCGGCCAACTTTGCATAGATTAGTGGCAAACAAGGGAAGAGGGGTGATGGGGCAGGGGGCAGGGGGCAGGGGGGATGGTGAAAAGTTTTTCCTGGCGCATTGCTTGACTTTTTGGTGGATTATTTAATTAGCGGCCAGCGAGGACAACTTTTTGCGAGTTCTTAATTAACGATCACTGCGGTTGTTCTATGTTTTCGCACACCCAAACGCATACATATCTTTTATTTGCATTTAATGTGCGGACAAATATGATCCGAAATGGAGCACAGAGCAGGCCCGGAAGCTGCCAAATGAAAGGGCTTCTCGTCGTCGTCGTCGTCGTCGTCGTCGTTGGCCACGTCTGTGAGTCTGTAAAGTTTTTGCCATCAAGCGAGCCCACAATGTAAATTTAAACTATTTATAAACAGAGCCCCAACCGAACCAATCCGACACCGACACCGAGACTTCGACTACGACTCCGACTCCAATGGGGGGGAGGAGGGGGGCTTCCAAGTAAATTTGCACAGACAAGCCAACAGTTTGACTAAGTCTATGGCCAAAGAAAACCTATTAGTCGTCGTGTGCTATATGAAACCAACAGAAACTATAAATTTCCATAGAGAGGCGAGAGCCGAGAGCAGAGAGCCCAAAGCCCAGAGCAGAGTGCCGAGAAGTTTTAGAATAAACAGCACCAACGGCTTAAATTGCCGCCAGGGCACACATCCACAAAGATACATCTATATCTATCTATCTACGAGATACGCGCATGTTTGCTTTATTTGAAGAGTTTTGCGGCATCTTGAGATGGATTGTGGGCTGGGCTGGGGGGGGAGGGGGGTGAATGCATCATCATTTCGGGCGTAGCCTTGGCAAATAATTTGAAAAATCAACAACTGTCATTCAGGCGACAATTTGGCCCCAAAAGTAGACTTGAAATTGCGTCAAAGTTTGCATTGCATTGTGGCGCCCAACGAGGGGTGGGTGGATGAGTGGGTGGGACTGGGGCTGGCCTTGAAAAGTCAGATTTGGAAAACATACTTTTGCCATTTTCGAAAATCACACTCTCCTTGTCGTTGTTTGTGCATCGCAGTGATGCTGCTGTTGTTGCCACTTGAGCACTGAAGTAGATGAAAGGCTTTTGGCTTTGGCTTTCGTCTCGGGGCGGACCTGAAGGAGGACGAGGGGCGGTCCCGGGGCTGTTGTTTATTTTCGCAGCGTGCCAGCGTGCGGCGGAGGTATCTTTTTTCGCCCTCATTCAGCTCTAAACTCGTGTTCGTGTAGCTGCCAGGGCTCAAGTATGTTTGCCAATTGAAATGCTAGACAAAGTATCTATATGCACGGGCAGAGGTCGGCCACAGGCAGACGGTTAGATACAGATACAGATACAGATATAGACGGATGTATCGCCGGTCGCCGAGAGGGCACAACTGTTTGTACTGCGGCTTTAAAAGCCAATCGATGCGCTTTTCAAGAGTCGCCCTTAAAGGGGCGCACGCAAGGCCTAGAAGTATATTACACAAAAACCATCATTTGGGGCAGGCAAAGACCTGTCCAGTCCGGTCCTGTCCCAACCCGTCTTTGGTGGGACTAGAAATTTGCTGATCTGTCATAATTAAAGTTTTTGACAGAAAAAAGGGGGCCGGGAAGGGGGTGGGGGGGTGTGGGGGGACAGATATGACATTATTCTGCAGGCTGTTCAATGCTCAAATGCGCATAAAATTCCAGTACGGATGGATCTGTGGGAAATACGCACAAAATGTACTTTTCGGTTTGCCAACGAAAATTTTGTGCTGAGCGCGTGAAAATTAATTAAAATATTCGCTCTGTAACTGCCGGGACGCCGTCGGAGCATAACTGAATTTTAATTGAACGCAATCAATGCGAATTTATGAAAGCCAGTCCCTGCCGTCCTGCCAGTCTGTCCCTGGCAGAACCTACCCCACACCCACTCCCCCTCTCTACACCCCCCTCACTCTCTGGCAATTGGCGTTAATTTGTCTGACGAGAAGATATTGAAAAGAAAAATCAACTTTACCTTACGGATTTTCAATT